ACAAATCCCACTTTAAGTTCGCTTCTTTGGTCCTCCCATAGTATGCTTTAATGACATCAAAAACCTTTTCTTTATCTGGTGTCCCAATGAAGATCTTGAGGTCATCTAAGAACTTCACTCCGTTAACAAAGAAATTTGCTAACTTCTTGATGACTGGGATAACTGCAATTGCTGCCGAGGCTAAAACGGTAATCGTACTGTAATGCGACACGTACTCTAGTGCGACACGTACTCTAGTGCGACACGTACTCTAGTGCGAAGTCCGACAAAAACACCCTCTGTCGCACTACAGTACGTGTCGCACTACGATCCAGGTAGCGTACTCTAGTGCGACAAAATATCCTGACTTATTTTCAAGTTCAGGTCACATCCTATCCTTCTTATGGACCATTAAGTGATTCGTCGGGTCGGTTCACGTCACTTATTTCGAAGTGATCTTGAGAATACGATTCGTCGGTTCACATCACGTGTTTCGAAGTGATCCACTGATCACAACCCTTCGGGTCAGTTCAAGCCACGTATGCAGTGTGTGATCCACCGGGTAACTCGTAAGCAGCATATGATCCTCATTCCTATCACGCATCGTATGAAGGTATATCTCCGATTGGGATAACAAGTTCATATGCTTGGGCCATATATAAGGTCACGATGATTCTACCAAAGCATCGAACAACATCAACATGTCTTCATTCCTAGAAGCGCGACGACATGACCTACTGGCGATGCACTGAGAAGATCTGCTCCGGACTTCTCAGTTTGATGAACGACACTACTGTGACCAGTACGAAGACCCATTCCCACCCTCCTACTCCTGCAGCAAACTCTGTCTACACAGCAAAGCAGAACATGAAACGGAAAGCCTCCGATACTGACCTCCCTACGAAACACCTAATTGCTGACGCTGTTGGACCCCTCTCCTTCGAAGCCATGTCAAAACTCAACTGTCAGCAGGAATCCCTCGCTAAGATGGCACGCACAGCTCCTAACTCCTGACTACATCCGAACGAACGGTGGCGAAACCTTCCTTCTTTGGGATTCTACCTTTTCAGCAGAGAGAAGAAGATCTTTCCTGTTCGGCAAAATATGGATTGTTTAGCTGAGGCCCCTCATCTTGTCATCGATGGTACCTACAGCACCTCGACTAACTTGTTCACGCAGCTGGTGACTATCCACTGACTCTATCCTGACGGCTGGAGAAGGAAGATGCAGCAACATGACCTAGTGAATGTGTAAAGTGCTTTGTCACACTTTAGTTCGTGTCGCACTACAGTCCAGGTAGCGCACTGTAGTGCGACAGTGTCGGCCTTGAACATTCTCTGTCGCACTAGGGTACGTGTCGCACTACGATCCAGGTAACGTACTCAACTGCGACATGGTCGATCTTGGAGGTTTCGCACTAGGGTACATGTCGCACTAGAGTACGTGTCGCACTACAGTACGTGAACCGGCTAAAACCAAGGAAAACATCGCTGCTGCAATCTGGAGGGATTTCTTTATATTAACCTCACCTGGAACTCTCATAGAATTCCATATGCCATGTAGTCTGATGACACTGAGGCCTGTCATAGCGAAAAGGGAGACCTGAGATCCGATGGTGCTGAGTGGAGTTGGGTCCGATGGTGCTGAAAATGCCGACGGCAGAGCATTTGAGGCTTGTAATCCATGCGATCTGGTTGAGACAGTAACTTCTTTTAAAGGCTATTCCGTCGTAAATTGCTATCATTACAAGGTACCACCCTACCAAGAAGTCACCTAAAGCGATCAAAATTATCAAACATCTATTAGTCATCGCAACTGATGTCTTGCAACGTTTTAGCGTTACTAGACTCTTAGCAATGATGACAATATTTGAGAAAACTGCGAGGGAACCTATTAGCCAGGAGAGCCCTTTCAGTAAAGTGCTTTCCAGTAACTGCTTCGAACACTCTTCATTACACTCGTCTGTAAGATCTAGACAATCGAAATTTCCATCACATTTCTTAGACTTAGGTATGTAATTCCCAGAAGAGTCACACTTAAAATGGTTAGAACAGTGATCTTCGTCAGAACTGTCTCCACAGTCATCTACAAGATTGCACACTTTATCATAACCCACGCACCTTTTCTTATTTTCGCATACAAAGTATCGGTTGGTGTAAATATTACCGAATGACTTCGTGAAGAACGCAAGATACTTGCCATTTGCAATGGTTCCTATTCGCTCAGGAAATTGCTCAGGGCAAACCTCGTATCTTGGAATGTTTCTTAGCGGACAAGAGGCACTGATGCATCTACCAGTACAACTTGTGTACAGATAGTTCTCTCCGTAAAGGTGGTCACAAGATTGCTTGCTTCTAGGAAGAAACACAGAGGTTTTTGTGTCCACACCAAAGTAATCGTGGTCCGGATAGATGTGATGTTCTTCTACGCAGGCATCCTTCAATAGTTCCAAACTTTTCAGACCTTTGTGACAATAAGATAGTCGTTTGGTGAGGCCACTGTTTGTTGTGTGTGCTGATGATACGATATCGTGAGCACTTCGTGAAATTGAACAGATTTTGTTTTCATTTCCACAAGTTTCTATCCCATCACAGAGATCACTCAGCTTCACATAGCCTGGGTTGCCCCAGGGACAGATAAGGGCATTTTCACATACAACCTTGTTGCTAGGCACATATCGTAGTGTTTTGCCGATTCCACATCTTGGCCAGTTTGCAGTTTCGTCTGCACCATCCTCACAGTCTTTAACCCCATCTCCTAACCAGGATATCGGTATGGGCAGATCTCGGTCTTTCCCAACCCGTCTCTTACAAGTAGCCTCTGTTCTAGAGAGACACGTGGAGTGACTTTCATCAGACCCATCCTCACATTCCTGCTTATCATTACACATGAGATGTTTGTGTATTTTACAGGTTTTAGTATAGAAGCATTTGCTTTCTATTTGATCGTCACAAGCCTTTATTCTTTCATCTAGACAGATCAAATATTTAGAAAGGGTGGCTTTATATCCGTTCACGTCGCAAGTAACTCCAACTCTGGACGGGTCAGAGCAGTTTGTTTGACTGTTTATGTGATCATAATAATCACAATATCTTATGAGAAGCCAAACAGCAATTTCTTTATGTATTATGGAACACCTGGTGAGATTGTGTACAGGCACTATCTCTCCAGTACGTTCGTGTTTGCAAGTGTGTTGTGTATTATCCGTAACTTTACATCCAATCATATTCTCCTTATTTAGGCAGTAACTAGACTTGCGAGGATTACATATGTAATCAAAAGGAACGTAACTCAGCAAGCCAGTACGAGTTGTAATGCAATACAGTCCGTACGTGTAACCATTACAGACAGCTTCGTCTTCACAGGTTGGAGTATCACACTCATCGTCACAGATATCCTTAGTAAATACTGTGTCTCCACTCAGCATTGTGGTCTTGTCTTCATCTGGATCACATCCTACTTCATCTAATTCAGTGTTTCCGCAGTCTAAGTTACCGTTACATATCAAACCCACCTCTTTAAGTGTATAAGATGGAACTATAATATCGTTTCCATGCCCAAAATCAAGATGACATAAGTAGATTCCACAGAGCAGCTCATTGTTGGTTATCTTATCTGTTAATCCCTTATCACAAGCCTGATAGTATAATGGGTCTTGTGAGCAAACTTGTCCAAAGTAATAACGAATATATTCATGTTGAAAGTAAAACTCCTCTGTATTCCAACACTTGAAATTGATGGTCTTCATGATCGGGTAGTTGTCGTAGCCGCACACGTACTTCAGAAAACCGTTTATTTCTTTAATGGGGCATTGAGCAACTGAAATAATTTTGTAGTTTCACTGATAACCTATAAAATTGTATATTCTGGGTTGTGACTGGTCAGTGCTGGAAGCTGATTGGGTCATTGCTACGGCTCATTTCCTATATATTATTTGTGTATTGTTACAAAGACAATTTGGGGAAATTTTGGGGGCAATTTTGAACACCGGTACGGATTACCTCATAATCATTTTTATGTATAATCCTGTTTAATTGTAATTATATAATCAATTGTTTTCCATCCTTACCTGAATCAGTTGTAGAACTAATGCTAGTAGTAAAAAGAACTGCTTGGATTATAAGGAGAACATAGCTCCAAAGAAATATCATCAGCAGTGGGTCCTGTGTCCGTTACAGACTAATCCTGTGGAATTTATTCTATAAATCATATTGGGCATTGGGTATTGCAGTTTCTGAATGATAAAAATGATAAAACTGTAACCAAATGAACGAAATATTAATTATTTTAGCAGAAGAGAATCAGGCGATTTCTCAAAAATGTAAGACGATCAATTTGCAATAAGGGGACTAGCACATGTGTCCTACAAGCGATGCTACTGGGACCCCAATCACATAGATAAAAGTTGTCTAATCAATTACCTTTATGGAACGTAGCACCGTGAAAATGATCCAATTCAAATAACACCGCACAATGCATATACTGGTAAATTAGTCAGTTAAGCACATTTATAACATGAGACATTGGGAACTAAGCACAGACCTCCCCAATGGATAGGATATCAACAAAAAAGGATTTCAAAATGTTAATATAGGCATAATTCAGGGGGACACCTTGTTTTTTTTCGAAAGTGTATCCCAGTTTCTGAGGGTCGTAGAGATTTTAAAATGGGCTCAGGCAAATACTATTTGGAAAAGGAACCGACCAGTCTAGGGTTTCGGCTGCCGGACCGGAAACGGTTTCCCGGATTTTGCCGGGCCGGAACCGGCCACCGCGGGTGTTAAGAATAAGAAATTTAAGACTGCCGGAAATTGCTGGAAAATTTGAATTAATCCTTATTTGAGTTTTGCTGTTCGGGCAGCAGTAAATGGTTGATATGCTGTGCGATCAAAGATCATTAATTAGTGGTTGAGCTAGTAACGAGTTTTGGAGCACAAATGTAGAGATTGTTCTAGAAATAAAACCAAAGACCCAGCTCTCAAAAGTTCGTGGCGTCGGACGTCGGTGTAACACAGGCTAGCATGTCTCGTGTAACCACAGGATTCGGTTTTAGATCAGAATCTCAAAACAACGATAAAGGAGCGGTCTGCGGTGACGTTAGTGTTCCAGGTTGGAATCACCCAAAATTCACACTGGGCAATATTCAAGGACGGTTCAAAAATAGGGAAATTTTCAGGAGCAGGATACCTTAGTTCCCAAAAATTTGTGTGCCATTATATTGAGCACAATTTATTTGAGCCCGAAAAATTTGGGCAGAAAATTTGAACTCATTTGGGCGACCAAAAATTTGGGCACAAATTCTTCGAAAAATGAACGATTTTCCACTAAAAATCGTTCATTTTTAGTGAAATCTGTCATTTCATTTGGTTAAGCCATGAATGACAGATTAGAAAAATAAAATTTTAAATATTATTTCACTTGGATATGAAGAAAAAGCCATCTTTATATAGATCTCAGGGCCACAGGCTAAATGCCAAAAGTTTGGTTAGCAAAAAATTTAGCAGACGGAAAAGATTTATGCAATTTATTTGGTCTGCAAAAAATTTGGGCGAGAGGCCCGCTCAAATTTTTTGTCGCCCAAATTTTTGGGAATTAAGGTACCTGGATACTGTGTGATTCGAGATATAATTATATAAGCGAGGACCAGAGACAAGTTTCCACACCCAGGCAACAGTGTATCAACTGTTTGACGATTAAACAGATTCAGAAGTAGCACCCACCAGGAAACACTGCACAGTGCACACTCCTACGAATTGCACGTAGCAGGCCACGACCGCCCCTGGAAGTCCCTGTCTCTCCGTCTTTAACCCGACGGGGTTGCACCAGGGGCGGTGGTAACAGAGCTTCAAGACTCCAGGAGTACGTTGTCGATATCTATGATTAATATGAATATGGTATATACTTTGGGAGTCTCTCTCTCTCCAGAAGCAGGAGTTGGGGACATAGGGTCGCGTTGTGAAAGCCACCGTAAGGAAGGCACACAGTCGACGCTTACCAACCAAAAGAAGAATTCATTGTTGACTTAGCAAGGATTTATTAGACGAAAAATATGCATTTTATTTTAAAGAAATTTCCAGTCCGGCGAATTTCTTGGAAACCGAACCGGGACTGGATATTAAAGCCGGAACCAGATTTACCGAAAGGCCTAAACATTACTTTTAGATAACTTTACTTTTAGATAAAATCTACGAAAAATATTTCTGCTTTGCTATGATGCCAAACCTAATTTCCTTTTGGTTGCAGCATGATAAAAAATTCTGGATACCGACAACAAATGGATTTTGTAATAAAGGAAAATGAGTTCTTATAACTCTGTCCTTGCTATTGAATATAATATAATCAGGCACAAATAGCCACTGTTGAGTATAAAATAACAGCTGCCTTCATCATAAAATATAGTAAAATCATTCTCAGTTTGATGATTACTCCATTCCACTCAGAAGAATCACTGTCTGACTTTATTTTATAATGCCATTTACAGGTGTTATCTAAGTCTACAATAAATACAAAATCCTTAAAATTTTCGGGGGGGGGGGTCTTCATACCCATAGCACATAATGTAGCTTGTTTATGCTTTGGTGCCGTTTATTTGAAGCATTGCTTACTAAAGCACTAAGCATAATTCATACCTGTAAAGCAGCGAAACGACTGCCCCCGCTATACCTTCGCTAAGCCGACAAAGATTTCTTTCAACTGGATTGAGATGTATATAATCACTTCAGTTACGGACAACAAATGGATTTTGTAATTAAGACAGCTGTTAAAAGATAATAGCTGCCCTCATCGTAAAATATATTAAAATCAGGACAAATAGCCCTCTCAGTTTGATAACTACTTTATTCCTTACGAATAGTAGAGATAAATAACTACAAGTAAATCTCGCAATCTCATGTCGTCCCGGTGGATTGGCACTTTCTTTTTAATTTCCTAACTCTGAAAGAAGTGGACATCTGTCATTATCATAATTTTTTAAATCTGGTCAAAACAACGGTCAAAACACACATTAAAATTTATCCCAGATTGCAGACTACACCGACTATTATTTGTTTATATTCCAGATTTCAAACTACACCGACTGTTATTTGTTTATATCCCAGATTTCAGACTACACCGACTGTTATCTGTTTATATCCCAGATTGCAGACTACACCGACTGTTATCTGTTTATATCCCAGATTGCAGACTACACCGACTGTTATCTGTTTATATCCTAGATTTCAGACTACACCGACTGTTATCTGTTTATACCCCAGATTGCAGACTACACCGACTGTTATCTGTTTATATCCTGCAGATTTCAGACTACACCGACTGTTATCTGTTTATATCCCAGATTGCAGACTACACCGACTGTTATCTGTTCATTTCCCACGACTCTATACAAGACTATCTTACCGGGGAGTGGATGGGAATGTTGGAACCGGATATGACTTATTGGAACATTGTCTTCACTATTCCCTTCCCTTTCCTGGCTTCCTTTCGCAAGATCTCTGACAGCGAGATACAAAACAAAATGATATCTAAAGAAATCGATGAAATGGTATGTTATTTTGATAAATCCCAATCTTAATATTTTTTTTCTACATACCTTATAAATTAATAACAATGCTCTCTCATGTCAGTTTATCAAAAATATCTACGTGCTTTAAAACATTGTACTGACAGGAGCGGAAGAAGATGGCGTTTGTGTCAAAGAAGACCGTGGAAGGAACTACAGGAAAAGACCCAGTACAGCAAGGACAACGACGTCTAAACCTCTTGCAGAGGATGTATCATTTCTATAATGCACCTGTGGTTAAATTCTTCATATACATTGTGAGTTATATCTGATTATTTGTTAGTTTTTATTCTGACCCGTTAAGTTAACGGTAATAGTTCAGTTTTTAATTTCACTGCTTAGATTTATCCGTCTTCTTTAATCTTTTAATCTCTATCTCTTGCTTTAATCGTTCGCAATAACAAGGCTTATAATTAAGTGACGTTGTGGTAGTATTGTGATCTTATTAAGCGTTCATGGGTTATCGTTTTCACAAATGAACTTCCTAATCTTCCTTATCATATAGTTCGCAGACAGTTTTATAATTTATGGATTTGATATTTCTTTTTCAGTTAATGTACTTTGCTTTCCTTGTAAGCTTCTCATACGCTCTGCTGATAAAACAACCAAAAACCCGAGCAAGCGGGACTATGGACAATGCTGAGTTCGTGGTTTACATATGGACAGTCTCTATCATACCAGTTGAGATAAGACAGGTATTGAATACAGCTTTAGAAGAGAACAAAATATTAACGATTTTCACACATTTGCTAAAGCTTAGATGTTGGAGCCCCCTCCTATCGTAAGATAAGAGATGGTAGAATGTCATGCCTGAGAATCAAAATATAGTAGATACATTACATACCGTTTAGAATAGTGACTCGAACCTCGCGAGTTTGCAAGTATCCACCAAAAAGTGCTGAATATTTCAGATTTACCACTCCTGTCCCTCCACTACCATGGGCAAGATAAGAAACTACCTATCTAACCAATACAACAAGTTTGACGTGTACAGCATGATGTTCATCTTTATCTCCTTCTGCTGCAGAGTCCTCCCCAGACTAGGACTCCCGGAGAATGCTGACAATCTCCCTCCTGCTCGTCTGGAGGAGGCTGTCTTCAGAGTCTTCTTTGCTTTCGGTTTTGCGGGGATGTGTTTACGTTTGTTACAGGCCATGCAGATCAACTCTCGGTTGGGCCCTAAAGTGCTGATGGTCGCCTCCATGATCATGGATTTGGTGTTCTTTCTCGGCCTGCTGGGGATGGCTCTCATCTGCTACGGGGTACCTACTAAGAGTTTAATTACTCCGACTAAGTCGAATGTAACTACTGATATGATATATGACTTGTTTTGGAGACCGTATATAAACATGTTTGGAGAACTAGATCTGGACTCCTTAACTGAGGATATTAATGAGGGGTACTGTCTGCTGGCTAACCAGTATAACCATACTGTTAACTGTACTGATGCCAAGACCGCGTATGATTGTAGCGCTGACAAGTATTGCTTTTATAACAGGTGTGTATAGCAACGTTATTGCAAGGTTTTACATGAACCTTCCAACCAATTTAAACAAAATCTTGCGTAGTTTGTACAATTGAACATTACCTTTCAATGCCAGAATCTCTTTCATATTATTTGTTCTTATTTCTGCTACTAAGCTCTCGTCCTAAACCCTGTCCCTAAATCTCAGCCCCTCACCAGGTTGCTGATATATTTAATGATGTCGGCGTATCTGATGGTAGTAGCTGTGATGATGCTGAACTTGTTAGTGGCTGTCTTCACTTTCACCTACGATCAGATAAACGCTAACTCTGCCATACTGTGGAGATGGCAGCGGTATGAGCTCGTTACAGAGTTCAAAATGAGATCTAGTCTCCCCATACCATTCAATACCATTGTACTCTGTGTATTCTTTCTCAGATTCCTTTACAGAAAGAGTTGTTCACGTGGAGGTTGGTATATTTCTTGCTTTTAAAACTAGGTCTTGGTTTAGGCAGCGGCGTCGCTCCTTCATCAGTTATTAATAGCAATAAATCTGTTAAACGCTAAACTCCTTCTATAACCTTCTATAACCATTGAAAACTCGGTAATCCTTGCGGTATTAGGTTTGCTTAACACAAAACGTGTGTAACAACTAGCAAGTGCTTATCTTTATGTCCTCATCTTTGGAAATTAACGTATGTTATTAGTTTTCCCTTGGCAGCAGTTTCTGCTTATCAGAAGTTACTTCATTGATAGCCTATAAAAACTACACTCGTTTTCAGAGTTCGTGAGGAAACGTGACGCGTACAAACGCCGCCATGATCACAAGCAAGACCGGATCTCCCTGCTCGAGAGTGAGTGTCGCAGGAACCTGCTCAACAAACTGAACGAAGTAACAGAGATGAAGCAGATCCAACACCAGGTTCATGTCTGTGCGACTAGTGTGGATTCCTTGACCAGTGCCGTTCAGGATTTCAACCAAAACTTGCAGGTTTTTTTCTGAACGTTTTTTAATTTTTAGTCTCTATGTTTCCATTCAACATCTCCCGATTAACTATAACCATTGAATACCACTATAGTGTATCATTTAACTCAATGTGTATGGCTTTTTGAGATCGGTAGGTCAGTACAGGAAAATGTCTGAACTAATTCGGACACCAGAAATTCTCTGAGACCATCTGATAGGACAAAGAGATTTTTTTGACATTTAGATGAATAGCATCTTCATACATTAGAATACGTAAACAAAACAAGTTTTTATTTTGCAAATCAATAATTATAACAAGAATTCGATAACAATTAACAATATCATACGAATGAAATCTAATATAAAATTAGACGCAAAATCATAACTTTCCAAACAATTTAATCTCTATTCTTGAATGTTCTGTACAAATTTAAACAAATTACAAAACATTAAGAAGTCCCCCAGTTCACTAAGCTTTAGCGGCTACTTTCTCAAGGCACTCCTCCCAGGGTATATTGTAGTTGTTCTTAACATACTCAGCCGGGAGTTGTTCACTGGTATCCAGCTCTGTCCTCATCCTCCCTCTCTTGTTCCTCTTCAGAGGAAAATCAAACGAGTCTAGGAGGAGTTTCTTGATAGCTCTAGCAGCCGCTCCCTGGTGATGGGTACAGACAGCGTACACTCCCATTCCTCTAAACTCATTACTCCAGATCTTCTGTAGGTTCCCATTAAACTTGCACTCGGCGTGTCTCTGGAATCTCTCTTTAAAGCTCTTCTTCGCAACGCCAACGTATATAGGGTACCGTAGTTCAGAGTGAGGAGCAGGCTTCATGTAGAAGAGATACAATCCTCCGTAATGTCCGGGGAACTTGTTCACATCATCAGCATCTTTGATCTCCTCTCTGTCGTGCATCTCAATATTGCAGTTCAGCTCGTCTAGTAGGAACCTGATAAACGCTCCTCCTTTCTCCGCTGGTATCAGCTCCTTCTTCTTCTCCTCCTCCTCTTCACCCTCCGCTATCTTCTTCAGCTCCTCCCATGGAAACTGATCCAGGTTGCTCTTTGTCCACTCTGTGGGGTATATCTCCGATATATCTATATCCTTCCTTCCCGTTTTGAGAGCAAAGTTGCACGTGTCTAGGAGGATAGTTTTAATTCTCCTGGCAGCGCTACCTTGATAGTGAGTACAGTAAGCATACAGACCAAGTCCGCACAGATTCGCCGGGAAGTCCCCGTCCCAGACCTGCTTTATAACACCACTACTAGCGTGTCTTACGAACCGCTCCTTGAAGCTCTGTTTAGTGACCCCTACGTATACAGGGTACCGGAGATCAGACTGAGGTTCAGGTTTCAGGTACAGGATATAAAGCCCTCCTTGGTGACCTGAGAACTTCCGGAGGTCCTCTATGGTGTCTATCTTCTCTCCGTCGTGTAGTCGCACATTACAGTTCAGCTCGTCCAGAACGTACTGGATAAAGGGGCCGCATTTCTCAGCTTTGGGGGGTTTCTCCATGGTCTGTTCCTGATGGCCGAACAGATGTTTTAGAAGGTAGTTCAAACAAATACCTGATCCTGCTATTAATGATAATATGATTAGATGTGATTGACCAAAACGTCGACAATTCATTAAGTTTTTCTGACTGTTATTGTCATTTTACGTTTACATCCGACTTGATCCGAACCATTACTTAATAACAGCACATTTTAACAATAACGATGATTAGATGCAAATTTGTTCAAACAAGCCCCTTCAGAATGAATTATGGGTACAAGATTTTCCTGAAAAACATCCATACGATATTAAAAGAGGCCTGAATAGCATTATAAAATATCAGGCTGCTATAAATTTCAGTACGAGACGGAGAGGAACTCTAACAATATGAGATAGCACACCATTATTGTGAGTGGTCTAAAATATGCAAGTACTCCGGAATCCGGACAGCACATGTTAACCCACGTGTTACACGGGTCGCCCACGTGATACAAGGGTCGCCCACGTGATACACGATTAGCTCACCTGCAGTATCTCATTACCTTTAAATCGCTACCAGGTTGGGCGTAATGCTGTATAGGTATTCAGCTCCTAAATCACTTTACTTGTTAACTTACAAACTGAATGTTGAGTAGATCGCCCTGCAGTCCTTTGGAGTACTTGAAGTGGGAAGAGAAAAACTCCCTTTATGATGTACTACTGATTATACGATGTAGTGATCTTTACAAAACGTTATTTGATACTGGTAGCAATAGTCGAACTTAGACACCAGTAAAAATGTGCAATACAAGGTTTTCTTTAGAATACAGTAACGTGGAGCTAATCTTATTTGAGGCTTTGAGATGACGATATACTCGAGAATCAAATTATCTCAACTTTTGGTTTTGACAGTAGCATAAGTCTATAAGGTTAAGTCATAACCATTACATGTTCCTTTGGTAATCGCATATATGCATTACATCACATAATCGACAATGTTATTCCCCAAACATTTGCGATTCACAACGTGGAGATTTAAAGTTAGGGTATATCGACAAGTTAAAATGTGCGACTCAAAACTAACATGATACCTTGATTCAGAGTATTGTTGACCAGACAGTCAATGCACGATGCACACCAGATCTCAACCATCAGGCTCACCAATCCTCTGCTCCCCAAGGGACGACAAATCTTAACAACTGGGGCCATCAATCCTCTGCAACACAATCTCTGATGTCTATTGGAACAGCTGCTGCACTGAGTGTGGGACAAGGAGACAGAACTTACCCTGGATCAGCAGTAGTCCGGGATTACGTGCCGCCCATCTACCAGAGCTGGAGTGTCGTATTTCTGACGTACAATCCTCCCTCTTACTCTCAAGATCCCGGTCCTGACAGCTCTTCTGCAGGTGTGTTAATCCTCTACACAAGATCGTAGGACACACATGACTTTTCTGGCATCTCACCTTTCTGTCTGTTCTTACATGCGACTGTAGTATAATGAGCTGTTGGCAAGGTGCCAGGATTTAAGATAAGATAAACGATAACTAACCACCCCAGAGTACAATACAGGGGACAGAAGGAGCTCACTAGGAATATACGGAGTGAGAGATCACCTGCCCTTAAACCCCAGAGGGAGAACCGGTTTAGCTGGCAAGGGGAGTCTTCCTCACTGGGGACCCAACCATATCGCTGTTCCTATAGTTACTCGGTAAATACTGGTTCTTCTAGTTCTATTATTGCATCATATTCGATGTTACTTTTGCGATCATGCACAATTTATACTATCAAATGATTTTTAAGTCTTGATAACTTGCTTTAAAGACTGGAAACTATAAAACCCAGCTATGTAATTTAGACATTAAAGTAATTTATAGTAATTTAGAGTAATTTAGAGTAATTTAGAGTAATTTAGAGTAATTTAGAGTAATTTAAAACCATGACCAGGGGTCAAGGGACGGAGTTAGAAGTTTTGTTGTTTGAAGATGGAGGCATTGTTGCATTACTAGAAATAACGACACCATTCAACCCCCTTCCTACTATTATACACGAGCTGACTACTATTTTCACGACTTACTCTTCTGAGATGGTTACAGACAAACTATCGAGTCCAACTGAGTCCAGAGAAGCTTCGAATTCAACTGCAGAGGTCACTGAACAATCTTCAGATGCGAATCCAACTTTAGAGGACAAAGAATCAAAATATCTTTTCTTTAAGAGGTAATGGATTTAGTGAATTTAATTTTCCAACATCAAACATCTTTTATTATTGATTTGACCAAAACCCATAATCATGGGTAGAGTGGACTGCTGGTGCCAGTGTCTCTCTTTCCCAAATAAAAGGCAGTGATATCAATTTGAATGATTTTGCATTTGATAACGGTCATTCAAATTGATATCATATTCATTGCCTTTTGTTTGGGAAAGAGAGACACTGGCAGCGGTCCACTCTACCCATGATTATGGGTTTTGGTCAAATATCATCTCTTTTTGATTATAATTTCAGGGTACTTTACAAAGTCGAAATGTGAACTCATAACTTCATTATATTAACGAGGAGGTAATTTCAACGATTTCGAAATTTTACCTTTGAAAACATTTCTTTGTGTTTAGGTAGACATAATCATATTTGTCGATAACTGACTGAATATGAAACTTTTTACTCGATTAAGATGGCATTAAATTTATGTATAATGCCATTTAAATGTCGTCGGAAAGAATTTATACGAAATAATGAATGAGCAAAATTCTCACCTTTTGCACGTGCAAACTTTAAGCGGACGTTGCGTGCGCATGCAATATTGAATCAGTGAATCACCATAAATATTTGCATAGTCATATTTTATATGTAGTTCGATAAGCGTGCAAAGTTTCTAAAAGTTTCTAAAAGAACTTGAATTACAACGGGTTGATTGACTATGTCAATCCGTCGAGATCGTTGCTCTGCGAAGCAGAGCAACGATGCGAAGCAAGAATGCTAGTTCGCGCGGCGCGTCGAAGCGGCGAAGTCCTCCAATACAACGGGACTTCAAAGTTGATACAAATCGAGAAAACACAAATTTTCAGTGATTGTAGCAATTTTTAACAATTTGGGCATGTCCTCGCGTGTGCACCTTTTTGATTTTCAACTTTAAAACTAGCCTATGACACAATTTAGACCTTAAGAAACAAGAAAGCTTACCTGGGGACTTTAGGCTATTATGTTCATTCGGCGGAATGACAGGCTGAGCGCGGCCCAGTAAAAGAAAGCAAAATTGAGTTCCACAACCCAGGGGATGACCTAGAAACAGAAAATGCTAGAACGTAAAATTTTGTCATACATATGACCCGCCGCGCACGAGTGCGCGGCTCCCCCTGTATCATAGTGAAACGACCGTGGGGGTCACGACGTCCAACGTGATACAAATTTGATTCACGATGTCAATCCTTCGCATCTCGCCGATCTGCATACGTGGTTGCGAGAAGCATTATTGGATGCGCGCGCGCGACCCAGTAGTGCATCGCGCTACAAGATACAAATAAAATTAGCGTTTATGTTTTATAAAATTATTCTTCAAAAAAAGCACTAACTTTTATGGCAAATATTTTTATAAAGGAGGGAGCTAAAAAACTTTTTGGTAGATTTTCGGAATGTTTGAATAATTATCTAACATGAAAATGTTTGATTGACGATGTCAACCCATCGAGATCGTTGCTTTGCGAAGCAAAGCAACGATCGACGATGCGAAGCAAAAATGCTAGTTTACGCTTCGCATCGTCTGAGGAAAATTATTCAAAATCCAAGAAAATTTCCTCAGATTTTGAATAAAATAATTCCTTGATGGTGTATAATCAATTTAAAAAGTTATTACTTTGACAAAAATAAAGTGTTAACAGTTAATGACGTCAAATATTTTTGTATACACTGTAAACTAAAATGTAAACAATTATCTTTAAGACCTGTGGTCGGAAATGGCCGGAATGTATTTTTGTACTATTGAATCTACGGACACTTAAATACAGGCTACAATTGACTGGCAAAGCGTCTATCCTATCTATCTATTTTTTTAAAATCCCTGAATATATATGTATATATCACAGCAATCTGTTGTAAAACAGGGGTTCCAGAAAACCCACTTCCCAATAGTCCTGAAACTTGAAACTTTTTTTGCAGTTGATTTTGTAAACATCTAGACGCTCTGCAAAATTTAAGATCTCTAACTCAATTTTAACATGGTTTTTTAAAGCACCTGAATATGGCGATTTTGGGGTTTTTACTGAATTTCATATAAAACAGTGCTGGCGCGTATTTTATGCAAAATTCTTAAAAATCTCCACATAAGTATTTCTTATTACTGTCATCTTTGACATTGAATTAGAATGTTTGAACTTAAAATATGTGATATGCCTGCTGAACTCCTTTTGATGAGTCTTCTTAATCATAAATGCCTGAAAATCAATAAAGGGGTATATTTAAAAAAATTTGTTTTACTAATAGTAAAGGGGGTAAATTAACGGGTGATACTCGTAAAATATTTGTTCCATATATATATGGATTTGTTCCATATATACAGGACCGTCGACGAGTCCAACTCGGCGCGCGTCCTGGTAGGTTGTAAACCTACAAGGGGTAAATAGTAAAGGGGATAAATAGGTAGTAAATGGGGTAAATAGTAAAGGTGGTAAACAGTATAGTGAATATAAAAGGCACGGTCATGCTTGCCAGCACTGTGATATTCGATATAATGGTTTGATCTACCTATTTGGGAATTTCTATTTGTTAACACCTAAAGTTGACACAGTTGTCTCGGTATTTGTACTGCAACATATTGACAATATTACTTTTAGGGGTTTGTTGATAGAACGGGAATATCTGGACTCCACTTTCAACACTGACAATGCCTGGCTGGAGTTTACCTGCTACAATTTTCATGACCACGACTCAGAGTTACATGACTTTTCGATTAGGAATACCGCATATCGGTGGGCCATGATTACTGAGACTTGTTTTAACAAACCAAAACATTCCAGTTTAATAAACAAAATCAGTTTAATGCGAAGACATTAACAACCAAACTTTTTTTCGAGATTGAATTCATTTCTCGGTCAAGAGTGCATGTAATATTAATATCACAGTGCTGGCAAGCACGACCACTGCGGGTTTTGGGGTTTTACTCTCCCCGTAATCAGCAAAGAGCACAATGCCAATGGTGAGTAAGAAAACACAACCGAAGATACAGCCAATTGAAATGTTGCTCATACTAAACACAGCGTAATATCGACAGAACTGATCAAAATGACGTTAAAACAATCATTGCACGTGCGGTTGCGTGTAATAATTATCGTTACCATGGTAACTACGCAACTTCCTATTTCTCGTCTGATTTGCACGTGGGCGGTTGTATAAGGTTTTATAACGTTTTCCGATAATTATCAATATTTAGGAGTATGTTAGAAAAGGTCAATCGGTATTTATACGTGTGCCATAAGTTCAAAGTTATGATTATTTGCTTTGAAGATGAAGGGTTTATAAAAATTGCTTGAGATTGGCTGTTGTATTGAATGAATGGTGCTGCTTATGTGTAGTACAACGACAGAAACAGTTACAACAAAAATTAAAAAATTAGACTCTGGTGCAACTTGTTCGTAAGTGCCACCAGAGCCAATTTCCCCACCGAGTCAAGGGGATTCAACTGTCAGCGTTAAGCATGACTCAGTTATGGTACTGTGAAGTAACTCAAGATGTGCTCCGTTGCTGAAAGCTATTGTTGGAGGTAGCCTATTCGGATGTGAGACACTTTTCGCTACCATCCTAGGATAAGCTAGAATCTCAAGAGCAGAAAGAGCTCTTTTTTCTTGTCACCATAAATTACTGCAAGAAAACAGAGCCTGCCTCAATTAATATTTCTTTGAATTCCTCACCGAAGTAATTGTTGCCAACTGTAACTGCTCATCAATGTGAGAGCTTTCATTAGGCAACTGAACCTTGCTAAAAACCAAACATCCACTGACGCTATCACACCCGCTGAATACAATGAATTAGAAGAATGAATCTCCTTTTCGTTTATGATCTAGATGACTTGATATTCTTTGATTGAATATTTACCTTCATTCTTTGTTAAAAATATCATTGTGATGGTCACGTGTTGAAATGATGTACTAAAGACTTGAACTATATGTATCCTCTGCAAAAAACCCCCCTCTCCCCCTCCCCCTTCTCCCCCCTCTTCCCCCCAAAACCCCCCCCCCCCCCTCCCCTCTCTTTTTCCTCTCTCTTCCCCTCCTTTTCCCTCTTTTTTTTCCCCTCTCCCTCCCCCCCTCCCCCCCCCCTCTCCTCTCCTCCCCCTTCTCTCTCTCTCCCCCCCTCTCCTCCCCTCTTCTCTCCCCCCCTTCTCCCCCTCTCCCCTCCTCCTTTTCCTCTCCTCTCTCACTCTCTCTCTCTCTCTCAAATGCGCCATAAATGGCAAATTATAGCAGGATTACTTCTTTTAACGTAACACGCATAGCGAAGATTAAATGATTCTTCGCGCGAAAAACGCGCGCGCGCGTCTGTGACGGTTTCAGTGTAAAATCGGTTTTAATGTAATGCAATATGTATGTACTACGGCTTTATGTGTAATTGATAATATGCTTCCTTCGACCAGAATCAAATTTCCAGCACCTCGATAGTGTCACATGCCATCTCACATCTATAGTTGACGGACTAATTGGTTACTACAGAGAAATTCAGTCCAAGTGTGAAATTTCGACCTTGGGAATTTCATCTTCGAAAACCGAAAATGGGACAGATTGGGGCAATTAAATCAATATGGTTTTTCCAATTCATTCCAGACTTTGACCTTAGAGTAGCCAAATTTGGTCGGTCGCGCTAAATCACTCTACAGTCGATTTTCTTATTTTCATCACTTTAGTTTCGCATTGGATAGAGCACATGTTGTACGCGCGCGTTACGTCAACGTGTGATCATATTTGATCCTGATTTCCTAATTACGTTTCTACTACATGCAGCTTACTTTGGATTTCAAACTTCGAGTTTTCGTCAACAGTCAATAATTATCCATGATTCATCTGCATCAGTGCATCAGTGCCACTTGTTTTATACTTTATATGTAGTTATAATCCTATAAGTTTAATGAATAGCTGTTAAAAATATTTATCCTCATTTGCTGCATTTTTGCTGCAGGTGTACTGACATATGCTAGGTACAAATAGTACAAATAGAATTGTTTGCTGGATCAAAATGCTGAAATTTTAATATAAAGCATCATTAAACTAGTTTAGGTTAAGCCTGATATGATTGCTTGAGTCCTATTTAAACATATTTTTGATATCGTGTCCATTTGTCAATGATCAATCAGATGTTATATGTAATTATAACATTACGAACTTATAATATCCAGTATTATCCACGTTTGCGCTAATTGTGTGATCCTAGAATCGCAAATTTTACATTCGTTTTAATGGTGTTTCTTTTAAATACGAAGAGCATCTATTGTTGTTCCTTAAGCCAGCTGACCCAGCTATTGTAAACGTTTACGGTCTAAAATGCTGCTCACTTTAGAATCACTGAGCTTCTTATTTGAATCATTAATTTCTGACATTATAATAAATAATTCCTAAATCTAGGCTGCAAAAAATGATATATTTTCGGATTGTGACCTGAGCAGCCGAAACTGACATTATTGTTATCTTTATGATATATACTATTACCGTGTAGTTTATAGAGTATACATTTATTGTATAACTTTATTTTATTTCCATAGAAGTGTTTCGACCAGTTAATTTAGTAAACTAACAAAATGTACGTCTGCAGTTCCGAGGACATGTTCAAACCTGGTTGGTGGTTTTGTTTCACTGCCAAAATGGGCGATTTTCTCATTTTTACAATAACTCCATTAATAATTACTCGATGGTCTTGAAACTTTCAGAGATGATTAAAATTGTGATAACAAATAGTCTCAGGTCATCGGCTATGAATAATATTGTAAAATGGCCCAGTTATGTTGAAAAATGTAACATTTGGTTACACTTTTCAATGGCTCAGCCAATTATTAAATTATAAAGATTCTTGCTTCATAAAAATGAACTTTAGGTATTTGCTTAGCTGTGGAATGAAAAAAGGCCCACTTTTGGTTACATAAAAAGGCCCAAAATGGACATTTTGTAACATCTTGTTTTCATGAATCTATCTTTATAGTTTGTTACAACCACAGCTAGTGTAGGATATGTATTTAACTCTCAAACCAGGTTATAAGTGCAGCAATTCTTGTATAAAGGCATTACCACAATCTTGGTATATGGTTCATAATCAATAAAAGGCCCATTTCTTTGAATAACGTAACATGGTTACACATGAGTATGTTATACAGAGTTGTTTGATCTAGTATTGGTTTTAAGTTGGTTGATGCATTAAAAAAAGACATGAAACAACTTAACAAATTAAAAAAAATGATAATTGGGACCAAATTATTGAATTTTGTAACAATTTAAATGTAATGTAATTTAAATTGACAATCCGCGACAGAACGCGGTAAATTTAATCAAATGAATATAGCTAATTAGATTAAAGGTTGGATATTTAAAAACTTTTAATTTATATATCAAATTGTATAGAAAATAGAAATTGGGCCCTATATATTGAAATTTGTAACAATAAAATGCCAGGTCACGAGTTTATCCACTGAAATGGCAGAGTTCCATGTCCATCTATGGAATTCAATGTTTTGGGCCCAAGTACAAAATATGGTCAATAATATGGTTGATGGAACCCTTATGACCTAGGCAAACTGGTCTGAACTTCAAAAACTATAATATAGCTTGCCTAACACCCCTCACATTAGGATACATACTATATACTATACTCTATAGTCTATACATTTACTTTCTAATGTTACATTATTCAAGTTCCGCAGCCATTTTATCAAATTATACGAATAAGGATTGCTTTACAATTCTGTATGAGAATCTAAAAACCATGTTACCAGTACAAGAATATATTGAACATTCCAGATATATATGAGCTTTGTAGTCAAAACATAAATATGTTACAAAATTCAATGTTTTGGGCCCAATTACAAAATTTGGTCAAGAATATGGTTGATGGAATCCTTTGTGACCTGGAAAAACTGGTCTGAACTTCAATTAAACTATAATATAGCTTACCTAACACCCCTCACACTAGGGTACATACTCTATACACTTACTTTCTAATGTTACATAATTCAAGTTCCGCAGCCATTTTATCAAATTATATGAATAAGGATTGCTTCCGAATTTTGTATGAGAATCTAAAAACCGTGTTACCAATACAAAAATATATTGAATATTCCAGATATGACCTTGGCAGTGAAAACATAAATATGTTACAGAATTCAATGTTTTGGGCCCAAGTACAAAATTTGGTCAAGAATATGGTTGATGGAACCCTTTGTGACCTAGAAAAACTGGTCTGAACTTGAAAAACTATCAAGAAGCTTCTCTAAAAACCCATTGAAAAAGTGTAACATAGAAATGTGTTACAAAATTCAATATCCAGGGCCCCCAACTAAACTGCTATATCTCAGGACCTGAATATGTTACACAAATTCTGATTCAAGGGTGCCCTCAGTCAAAGGGTCTAGTTTTTGTCAGTAGTTTCAGTTTTTTTTTAAATGTTACAGATTTCAATCTGGGGGCCCAGAAGTAATGAGTGGGAAAAATGAAACAAAACCACCAACCAGGTTTGAACACGTCCCCGACTGCAATTCGAAATATTCTATAGGAATCCATATATATTTGTTGGTCAATATATTAATATGATGTTTGGTTCATTTGAACTTTGCCTTCTAGAATCTAGTGTGAATATTATATTATAGATATTTACAGCGAATATTTTCATTATCAGGTTCAGCAGCATTATGTAAAATATGGGAAAAGTTGATCAACCGCCGAATATTAGGTACGCGTACTTATACATTTGTTCAGCTGTGATTCAATAATATAATTTAACAACAAGTTAACTTAAGAATTGCAATTTGATTGATATACAATATCATGCGATAGATTATTACAAAACTTCGAAGGCTTTTAACTTGAATAATAATATTATCATTTTTAAAGCAAGGTTTTTAATTGAAGGCAAGCATATCGGTTTTTACTGATGTAAGAGGATTTTTGTTCTTAGTTTCTATGATATTGTACTGTACATATTTTTACATCCTTCACCCTCCTAGCTGCATCAAGACTGATTCTTCATCCTCACACTTACACACCCTCAATTATTGTCACCACCTGGCACTTTATCATATATAATCACGTCTTCGCCCCATCATCCCCAATTAAAGACGATTACATATGCATATTGTATAATTCTGCTAAATAAAACATGTCGTATTACTTATATAATGTTTAAACCAACTCCCGGTCCTAGGTTATCAATTTATCTCAAATTTTGCTACTTTTAAAAAGTTCAAAGAATCTTTTAATAAGCTTGAACCTCCCAGAATATCTCTGGACAGTATAATGTATGTGTCCGCTGAACGAATCAATTCTCTCTCAAATTATATGTGTTCACTGTTCACTCTTTATTAACAAAAAGTTCCTACTATC